CGCCGGCTGTCCTCAGCCTCCCAGGCCCGGCTCCCCAGAGGACGGGGGCCATTGTCTCGCCGAGAGCAAGGGAGAAAAGAAGTGCTGGGAAAGTGACTGCGTGGAGCCTGGCCAGACGCCCCGGGGCCTCACGGGACTTCTCCCTGAGCCTCGGGCAGGTGGGCCACGGAAGCAAGCCTGATAACAAGACCACAGGGCTGGGCATCAGCACGACGGGAGGATGCAGAGGCAAGGGCAGAGAGACGGCAGGTGGGGACACGGGAGCCCATGGGGAGGGAGCACAGAGCAGTGGGGCAGGACGCCCGGGCACAGCTGTTTTGTTTTTTCCCCTGGAGGGTGTGTGTGCTCACTGTGGAGAGACAGAGTGCAAGCGAGGAAAAGTGAGACAGCCCCAGGGAGGGTGAGTATGCCAATCCCTTCTCCCCTGTTCTCCCTTCGGGATTTTGGGCACACACGCACATGCAACTGGCATAGTTTTCAAGTCACCAGGTCCAGAACTCTACGCACACAGTCAGCCATGTGAGATCCAGTCCTTTAACGCCGTGTCATCTGCTGGCCCGGGTTCAAATGATTTTAAGACCGCCGCCAGGGACCAGCAGACGGCGTAATGGTTACGTCACTGGACTCCGACGTAGTCCAATGCAGTTCAAGTCTGGACACAGCGGCTGAAAACTCACGCCGGGCACGTGTGCGTGTGTGCTCGAAATCCTGAGGAGAAAGGATTGGGTGTGGCCATCACCCCTGGGGGGGTGATTTTTCACTTCCTGTCTCTTGGGCAAGCACATGCACCCTATAGCAAAAATCTCTAAAAAAAACCAAAAGCACCTCCAGCTCTAAAACTCCAGGCATCGGGAGACCCGTGTTCTGTGCTCCTGTCTCCGCTATGCCACTGACGCACATGGGGCTCTGGTAACGGTGTTGGACCTCATTGGGGGTTTCGCGTTCATCGTCTGGAAGGCGAGGTGAGGCGGGCGTATGGGAGGGTCTGGGGGTGTCCCTCCGGAGAAGCAGAGCTGACCGACTGAACTGGTAGCTGAGAGGCCGCTCCCTCAGGAAAGGCCCCTGGAGAGACATGGGACTGTGGCCTGAGATTTACAGGAGGGGGAACTGCCGCAGAGCAGCAGAGCCCTGGACGTGCGGTCCTGGTTCCAGCCGCCAGCCTGACTTGGGACCTCAGTTTTCTCACTGCAAGTGAAGAGGATGTGAATAGACGATCTCTGAGGCTCCTTCCAGCTCCGGCATTCTACAGAGACTGCCACCCGACGGCCCTAGTCCCCACGGAGCCCCAGCACCTGTCCTTGAAGGTGGCAGGCTGGGTCCTAAGGAGGGGTCGGCAGGAGCCCCCAGGCGCCCCATTGTTATAACACTCGCATTACCCACAGCCAGGGGCGCTGCAGCCTGCGTTCTTATGAGAAAGTGGCGATCAGGAGGGTGGAGGCCCCTTGGAGGATGGAGGTGAGCCTTACAGAGCAGTCAGGTCCCTGCCGTAGCCTCTGCCGTGGGCAGGGGAGCTGCCACGCACGCC